CTATCAGGAATTATACGATTTTGGCTCATTTTATCTGCTTCGAAAATTACCTTTTCTTTTTTCAGTCATTCCATGTATTCACTATTCGGAGGTTAGATTTCCTTCCTTGTTATTCTCTTTTAATAGGTGATGCGCATGCGCGTCATGCGTTATTTCGGGAAATAATAACTTAAATTATTCTTAACTGTTAGAACAGCGGGTTTCAGTTGAGTGTGGGTAGGCGCTTGAAACCCGCTACTTTCCAGTTGACTATAGTCAACTGAAACCCATGCGGTTACACGCACGTATCATATAAATTGAATTTTCAAAGCTATTCGGAAGCAAAAAAAGGAAAACGACGCTCTGAACAGTTTAGATCAGCATTTCACAACTATCGTATTCACAAGAAAAGCTCCAACCAACGCCTTTCCTAGTGAGGTACAACCACTCTAGATTTCTCATTTTTCGCATTTTCCATCCCCATTTGACCCTCATATGACCCTCTCGTGGTTCTTGTGACCCTCGTGAGCCTCAATTTTGGAGTCTTAATTTCGAGTTCCAAATTTTCATCACCAAAAGTCGATTTCGATTTTCATAATATACAGAGATATAAATTACGGATGATACATTTTCCCGTTTTTTTATCATCCTGAAAATTTTCACCGCAATTTTCCCACTCACAATGCAGCTTTTGCGTACGCAAACACTCGGAAGATGGCACCCCCAGCTGCCCCGAGATCAATACCTGGCTGAAAGGAGACGTTTCGCAGAATAGTAAAAAATCGAGCTTACGTGCTTTACATGTGCTATCCAAACAGAAAAGATAAATGGTCATTACTCTATCTTTCTGTGATATCATTTATCGCCGGTTATGACTCAACACTGAATTGCGGAAAGTGGATAAAATTCAAGGTCGAATGAGAAAAATTGAGGTGAGCTGCATAAATTATAATATTTACTATTGCTTGCACCACCGGTCTCATTACTTGGGAAACGCTGCCAATAAATCCACGAAAATTTCAGAATTATAATTCTTGAAATATCACAATTCTCGGGTTTCTTGATTTTCGGGGTGATTGGAATTCTGTTGATTTTAGGATTATTATCGTCTTTCCATTTTTTGCCAATAACTTTTTCCGTAAATAAAATTGGTAATATCTTTTCGGCGCTTTGTTATTTTTGTTATTGAGTAAGATATGAAATAAAAATCTCCATTTTCGAAAGAAAATCTCGAGGGATTTCAATTGAGAAATTTCAGTTTTTGTTCTTTTTCTAGAAAATTTTATTTTGATAACAAAAACATCGAGAATTAATTTATGATTAATATTTTTCAAGAGTGTATACTTCAACAATAAAAAAAATTAGTGCAATCGCTAGGAAATTCTGCTAGGTTTCAGATGAAAATTCTACCTTTTTAAAGCCAATTCTAGTGAGGAATTTCGCAGTTCCTTAAATATTCAACAGATTTTTTAATATAATTTATTCCATTGAGGTAATTTTTACAGAAACTCCTTGACCTAAATTTCCCGAGATTTTTCACTACAATTTTTTTTTAGTTATTAAACATTTTAAGCAAAAAACTTCGACAATAAATCTGACGAATATTCCCCAATGAACACGTCAACGATTGAACTTGCAGACAAGCTGTGAATTTTTCCGATAAACTCGACGAAAAGCGAATGAAATTTCAACAGAAATTCACTAGAATTCAAATTATTTAAAATATCAAATTTCTTCCTCACGAGTTCAAAAACATTTATTTAATCCGTTTTGTGAATCCCTGAAACTCGCATTTTGTGTCGAATTAAAAAATGCTGCAAATGGCATAATTTCTTGAAATGTGGCCTGGGTCAAAGGCATCGTGTCACAAACCACGCAGAAAACGGTAGAAACAGTGGATCAATACCCCTACGTACCCGATCGCGGAATGCTATTAGAGTAGTATAAACATCACTTGAATTTTGCAGATAAAAATCTGCAATAAATTATAAACAGAAGTCATATAAATAAAAAACATTGTGGTTGAGTTCGTGCGCAATTGCCAGGCTAGTATTATTGATAATAATTAATTTAGAAGTGGCAAAATAATACAGAGTCTTATGAGAAAATTAGTTTTTCGAGTTTGGAGAAAACATTAACATGTAGAAAAAAAACTTAAAAATCAGAAAAAAAATCAAGAAAAATCCAATATTCAAATTCCTACTCCAATCCACCCAAATGCCAGTGACTGAGGCTAAACATATGTGATATTAATGCTAATATTGTTATAAAATGAGATATATTCTATCTTGATGGTTTGGTGGAAGTATATACACGGCTTGTGCAGATGTAAAACTGTAAAAGTAGCAGCAATGGAATAAATTCTATTCTATTCAAGAAAAATTCCATGTCGAATACGAAAATTACCGTCAGTGTCAAACTTTTGTGATAAATAATTTATATTTTTGGGTACTCTGAATTGCAAGTAAGAAATTATCAATGATGAATAATTTTTTTCTTGAGCATTTTACATTTGTTTCCCTCACTACACTCAACGGCTCACGTGGAGTTTGACTATACTACTTTAAAGGAGTATAAACATAACTTGAATTTTGAAGATTAAAATCTGAAATCAATTCTAAAACCAAATTAATACGAATAGAATCATTCTAGTTGAGTTTATGCTCAACTGGCAGTTTAGTATCATTTATAATAATTAATCTGGAAGTGTGAAAATAACACAGTCTTATAAGAGAATAAAGTTTTCGAAGTGAGGGTGAAGATTAAAATCTAGAAAAGAATATGGAAAAATCAGAAAAAATGGATAAAAATTCTACGCACAATATGGAAATTATCGTCAGTGTCAAACTTTTGCAAGAAATAATTTATGTTTCTACGTCTCCGAAGTGGCGTGTTATGTCGAACCACCTCAGTCAAAGGAGAGACTACTGCTAAAAAAATAATAATAAAGAACCATTTGATGGATCAATTAATGAATAATTTTTTTTTGTTTTTTGCATTTATTTTCTCTCGTTACACTCAACGACTCAACTGGACTTTATTCACATTAATTAAATCCATAGGTGATCATTATCCCCCCTCCGAAACAATTAAATCCGCTAAAAACCAACCCCCCCCCCCCCCCNAAAAACCCCCCCCCCCCCGCCGCAGGCAAGCAATTCCTGGAAATTTTTCCATTTTCCGCTCGAAAAATCTGTTGAGGAAATAGCTTAGAAAACTGAAGGTCTCGACACCTCACTTCTCCCACTCCCAGCGCCGGCTGCGGCTGTGCCAAGTTTTTTTTTATTAGGCTCCTCTCGACGATTGCCGAGCCAGTTCACTCACGTTAGTTAGCGTAGAATGTTGCTAGACGTTTAACCGTGATCATAAACAATTCGACGAAATTTTTATTTTTGTGCGACCGCTCAATCCTCGCCGAACAAAATCGTTATCGATTATTGCGGGAATCAACGGTAATTTTGATTTTTCATCGGTGACATTTGATGATGATTTTTTCGAGTTAGCGAAGGAAATTATTTCCGAAAATTAAGAGCGGGTTCAAGTGACTACAATTGCCCTGAATTAATCCAGTTAAATTTTGTTGAAATTGTGAAGTTTGTGAATATAGAATTTTCCCGACACTTTCTGGAGATATTCTTTGAGTTTTTATATGAGTTTTGTTGATTATTCCGCGCTGAGGTGATTCGGAATAACTATTAGAAGGTAAATTAGAGGATAAATCGGTAATTGATCGATTTCTTCCATTTTTTAAATTTTTATATTATTATTAATTGAAATTTAAAAAAATATAAGACAATTTAGTGTCTACGGAATCGCTCAGTCATTTTTTTCCAATTTAGTTATTCATTCATAATGATTCTAATGAGCATGTAGTGCTTCTTGCAACAAGTGAAATGTAAGTTGTCTTTATTGCTTCGTAATGACGTCATACAAAATTTCAATTAACTACGAAATACGACATGTTCTTTATGATGTTCCATTAACGATTTATATCCTTCAAACATTAGTTATTAATTCTCGCCTGATAACGCGAATGAGTGGGAATTATTTGAAATCGTATTTCAGAGTCGAGCTTTTAAAGGTTATCGTCACCACGTGCTCGGGATTTAAACCTCTCGCCCTTTCTAGAACTCGGAGTACGCGAAATACTACATGATTATCGAATTTCAAAATCATAGATATGGAATTAATTTTTGAAAGGGAAAACTGAGCGGATGCAAGTCATGATGATTATGTTTTATCGATCATGAAACTGCATTAGATAAAGGTATAGTTATCAACCGATCGGCTAGAGATAGGTATTGTCACTTGGAGTTAGCTTGACGAACAAAATCGTCATCGATTATTGCGGAAATCAAAGGTAATTTTGATTTTTCATCGGTGACATTTGATGATGATTTTTTTGAGTTAGCGAAGGAAATTATTTCCGAAAATTAAGAGCGGGTTCAAGTGACTACAATTGCCCACAATTAATCCAGTTTAATTTTGTTGAAATTGTGAAGTTTGTGAATATAGAATTTTCCCGGCACTTTCTGGAGATATTTTTTGAGTTTTCACATGAGTTTTGTTGATTATTCCGCGCTGAGGTGATTCGGAATAACTATTAGAAGGTAAATTAGAGGATAAATCGGTAATTGATCGATTTCTTCCATTTTTTAAATTTTTATATTATTTCTAATTGAAATTTAAAAAAATATAAGACAATTTAGTGTCTACGGAATCGCTCAGTCATTTTTTTCCAATTTAGTTATTCATTCATAATGATTCTAATGAGCATGTAGTGCTTCTTGCAACAAGTGAAATGTAAGTTGTCTTTATTGCTTCGTAATGACGTCATACAAAATTTCAATTAACTACGAAATACGACATGTTCTTTATGATGTTCCATTAACGATTTATATCCTTCAAACATTAGTTATTAATTCTCGCCTGATAACGCGAATGAGTGGGAATTATTTGAAATCGTATTTCAGAGTCGAGCTTTTAAAGGTTATCGTCACCACGTGCTCGGGATTTAAACCTCTCGCCCTTTCTAGAACTCGGAGTACGCGAAATACTACATGATTATCGAATTTCAAAATCATAGATATGGAATTAATTTTTGAAAGGGAAAACTGAGCGGATGCAAGTCATGATGATTATGTTTTATCGATCATGAAACTGCATTAGATAAAGGTATAGTTATCAACCGATCGGCTAGAGATAGGTATTGTCACTTGGAGTTAGCTTGACGAACAAAATCGTCATCGATTATTGCGGAAATCAAAGGTAATTTTGATTTTTCATCGGTGACATTTGATGATGATTTTTTTGAGTTAGCGAAGGAAATTATTTCCGAAAATTAAGAGCGGGTTCAAGTGACTACAATTGCCCACAATTAATCCAGTTTAATTTTGTTGAAATTATGAAGTTTGTGAATATAGAATTTTCCCGGCACTTTCTGGAGATATTTTTTGAGTTTTCACATGAGTTTTGTTGATTATTCCGTGCTGAAGGGACTTAGAATAAGCATCAGAAGGTAAATTAGCCGATAAATCGGTAATTGTTCGTTTTCATTGATTTTTAAATTTTTTATATTGTTATTAATTGAAATTTTAAAAAATATAATTTTTTAAAAATGTCTATTAAATTAATAGAGAGACTTTCTTGCAAAAAAAATATGAAACATGGTTAAACATTCGCTGAGCCATTTTTTTTCACTTAGTCATTCATTCATAATGATTTTAATGAGCATCTGAAGGTAAATTAGCCGATAAATCGGTAATTGTTCGTTTTCATTGATTTTTAAATTTTTTATATTGTTATTAATTGAAATTTTAAAAAATATAATTTTTTAAAAATGTCTATTAAATTAATAGAGAGACTTTCTTGCAAAAAAAATATGAAACATGGTTAAACATTCGCTGAGCCATTTTTTTTCACTTAGTCATTC